CTGCCCACTGCTTGGTGTGTAATTGGGACTAAAATGGATATTGTGAATATCCAAATGCTCTCTGGGCTTGGCAGTCCTCAGCCCTGGTTGATAAGCCACTTTTATGATTTGATCACCACAGGAGCTTCTTACCGGCCAGTCTTCCTCTTCATAATCCATTTTGAACACCACCATGCATTAGGTGGGCTGGGAATGTAAGGCAGCCCTGCCACTGCTGTACTAAGGATGCCTGAGTGAGCAAAGCTCAGCCAGAAACAGGCAGGATGGGGACACAGGGATCAGTAGGTAAATATTTGATGAAGCTGCAAGCTGTGGTTTTCACAGACTTAGGTAGGGTAATGCTATTATGATTTTGATTTGGTTAAAATCCTTTATCTTTTGGAAATAAGGTACTGAAATATTTAGAAACAAAAATATGTGACTTGTGCAATTGCTTCCAGTGGCAGGTAGGCATGAACGCCTGGACACATAAAACAGACTTTTCAGTGACTTGAGCAGTGAAGTGGATGTGGGGTGTATGTAGCTTCCTTTCATTATTCTTTCTGCTTTTGCATATGAATGTTATTTGCATAATGAGGCATGGCAGAAGCATAAAGTATTACCGCTGCTACCACCAGACAAACACACAGTAAATTTAGTCTGCAGAAATCTGCATGGGCTAGCATGGATAGCTCCAGTTTTCTCTGACTCTATCATCCCCACTGGGTTGCTGAGTCTGGTCACATGGATCTCTTGCTCAAATATGCCAAGCCCACCTGGCCCCAGACTTAGTTAGACCTTTTTCCAGTGTCTGCTGTACTCTTCTGTTGGGAGCCTTTGAAGCTGGTAACTGACCACACATACAAGGCTGAAGCATGATCATTCCAAGAATAAAAAGCACCTGGGGCAAACCACGTGAAGAAGCTGCTTCAGCCCAGAAAACACCTAGCCCCAAAACTCTGAGCCATGGGTTGCTAGGACAATGGAGTATCATGTGGCATTAAGTTGCTAAAAGATTTAAATAAACGCCCCTGCAGTGAGGAGCCAGTACCTTTCCTCCCATCAGGAGGATAAGGACTCCATCTGACTCCAGTTTTGTCTCTTATTTTTCTCATCCTTTGGTAGTCCTTCACCCCAAAAAACTCAGGAGCCACTTGGATTGCGACTCTCTTCCCTCAGCCAGGGAGGTTCAGCTTGCCCCTCACTCCCAAGAGCCCGCTCAGGGTTCCCTGTTTCACCCAATGGGTTGATGTCTGCTCAGGTTGCCTCAGGAGGCAGAAGACAGCTGACTCGAGGAGCCAAAAATCTTGAAAATGGGATGTTTGGCCAGCTTGTAAATAGATGGATCTTACAGGAAAATACAAGAAAGTTCCCTAGGGGACAATCAGATAAAATCTGATTATTTAGCTAAACTGTCACTACACCTTGTTTGCCTGCCTTGCTACCTAAAACAAACATCAGTCCTCAGCAGAATTCTGTGCAGTTGTTATTATTCATTAAATGTGGGGGTTTGAGTCAGCACTTCGTTCCTTTCCGTGAAGTCCCATGGCCCCCCTGACAGAGATATTCTGTCCCTTGCAGCTCTCAATGGGGCTGCCATGCATCATCTACTTGGATGCTATTAGGTATCTCTTTTCTGCCTGTCAGAGACCTGTGGCGTAGTGCAGGGATCAAGCATCTTGGTGATCATCTTGGTGACCATCCTCCTCCCTTGTCTGGAATTGACCTGGAAGTCTGTCAGTGCTGGAGAAATTTTTTTTGAATGCATGAACTAATGGAAGGAAGGGATGGGGGAGAGAAGAAGGGGAAGAAAAGAGCCAAGGAGAGCACAGTAATCAAGAGAAAGAGACACACGAAAGGAAGAGGACTGGCTGACAGTCTCCTGTGTGGTGTTGACAGAGGGGGAGGAGAAGCCTACTCCAAAACCTTTTTAGTTGCTCCCAATCAGAGAAGCAGAAACTCAGGTAAAGCTGCTGAGCAGAACCAAGTGTGCAAAGACAGGAGGCCTCCCTTGAGAGTACCAGCCCATTTCTGAGACTGTCCTCAATATCCCTCAACTATGGAGGAAATGGAAATGCATCCACCCTGCAGGGCCACTTGAGGCAGCACCTGTGCTCAGCATTTTGCAGTTTCCAGGCTCCAGCCCCTCACTCAGCAGCTGTCCCACTGGTTGAGAGTCCTCTCTCTGACATCCCTGGTCTGCATCAGTCCCTAGGGAGGCTTTGGGCTAGCTGTGTGCATGTGGCACCTTCCTTAGCAGACTTCATGATTGGTTGCCAAGCAGCCTCTTAATCGTCTTCAGAAAATCTGAATGCATTTAGCAAAATGCTCGTGCATCCCAAGAGTTCCACATGAGTTTTGCTAACATATGAATGTTAGCAATTGCTGACACATGAATGAAAGAGAGAGAGAGAGAGAGAGAGAGAGAGAGAGAGAGAGAGAGAGATCCAAGCCCAGCTGTGGAGACACACAGTCCTGGGAGGGAATCCCTGAGAAGCCACTTAGCAGATGCACTCAGTCAAGCCTTGGCCTCCAGCTGTGGAAGCTGTAAGAGGACTGCCACACATCTGGTGCTCGATAAGCTCCACGTCCCACCCAGCTCTGGCCATTGCTCTACCCCAGCCTCTCAGCTCTGCTTGCTTCTCTAGTTCTCTTGCTTGAATTCTCAAATCTCCAGATCAGGTGAACTTGCCAACATTCCAAGGTTCCTCAGCTGTGCTAAGCTTTGACAAGGCCAATGTCCCACTGTATTTGCGGTTGGCACTATTCTTGGGAACAAAACGTGCTTCTGAGGGTAACAATGCCCAGGTCAGATAAGTACACCCTGCGAGTTTCAAGAAAACACGTCCAAGAAACTGTGAGCCTAACAAGCAAGCTCACATGGGAGGACCCTCCTCCTTAACAAGAGTAAACCAGACAAAGACGAAGATCCGTGGTGGCAACCCTACAGCACATGTGCCAGAGACAGCTGTTTGTTTATCACTGAAAGCTCCAAAAGCTTCACCATCACTGATGTAGAGAAAGGACAGTCACAGTTCTCTTTACATAAACTAAAACTATATAATAATACTTGCAGCTGCTCAATGGAAAATGAAGGCAATTCATGTACACTTTAATTATATAATGGCAAAGACTGTTGTTTTCTCTGGAGATTGTGTAAGAGCATGTAGAGAAAATGAGAGCCCTGACAGCTGCCATGCTTTGCTGCCCCTCAAGGTCCGTGCCCACCTGGGATACTCTTTTTCCTAACAATTCAGCTATGATCATGCCTTCTCTACTGAAGCAAGAAGGCCACAGGATTGGAGAGACCAGATGACTTGCAAGGACCACACAGCAGCTAAGAAGTCAACCAGGGCTTCCAGGATATGAGGTATTATTATGCAAAGTCCAGAATCTACCTGCTCTACGGAGAAGAAGGCAACCTGGCTGACTGCTCTGTCTCTGAGAGAGAAAGTGGGACAAGGGCCATGCATGCTGAATGGAAAGAGACACATCCAGCATCCAAAGTCTTCCACTGAGACCAGTGACTGTCTCACCCCTATGCCCTCAGATGTTTTCTGCTTCCACCTAGACCTCAAAGCAAGTTTCTCCTGGGCTTTTGAAGACTCATGGTGGTTCTAGAGAAAACTCCTGATGGTTAAGATCAAATTGGAGTCTTCCTTGGGTGATAAAAGAGCAGGTTACTGAGCTCATCCAGTTCCACACCCCAGGAGGCAGAATACGGCAATCAAGCCACTTCAGAAAGAAAATCCACAGTAAATACCCACACACACACACACACCTGACTGTGACAGAGCCTTCAAGTAAAAGAGCCACAAAAGTTACGAGAGCCCCCTCTGCTGGATGTCAGGACTTTCCCCATCCATCAGGGAAGATCAGTTGCTCCCTAATGTCTAAATAAAATCCTCCAGGGACAGTAAGCTCACTGTTTCTGGATTTGCCATGCCATCTTCAGACTGGTGTGCCCCTTACAGTTTGCTGAGTGCACTAATATAGATGGGACAGTTTAAGGGTCAGAATTCAACAAGTGTTTTGTATAGGGAGATGTTGAAACTGGAGATTGATCACATATGTGGGGCTAAAGTAAACAAGCCCTCCTCCCACCCCCCCCCAAAAAAAAAAAAAACAGAGACCAAAACAATCTATGTAAACAAGCTGTTCCAGAACTGAGAAGGCAGGGGCCCGGGCCTGCCAGGCAAACAGGCTGCTAGACAGTGGGTTTGGAGTTGACATTCTTCTCTGGAGGGCATAAATAAACACACTGCACTCACTGGTTGAGCAATTCCTTTCCTCCCATCAGGAGAGTAAGAGCTCCACCTGACCCCAGCTTTGTCTTTTCTTTATTTTTCTCATCCTCTCCTGATACTTAACCCCATGACCCTCAGGAGCCGCACTGGGTCCAGGCAGTTTTGCCTTCCTACTGTGTGCCAGGCAAATTGATGGGAACAGAGGTGAGTCTGGGTCCCAATCTAGTTTACCATAGGGCATCCACTGACACATGCTTCTGTAACCTCTGTCTTAAAGCTACAGCTTTGTGTCAGGAAAAATGTGTACTAGAACCTGCTGGATGTGCACAATTGAGCTAAGAAGACAGGTGCCACATTAAATTACATTAAATTAAATACTGTGATGTATGATATTCAATAATAACGTGGATGCTTAAAGCATGTTAAATCCCTACCATTTTGCCCCCATTTTTCTCTTAGTCTTTTTCTCAAAACATACAGCAAACACTACCTGCTTCAAAACCCTCTGGATGACCTCACTGGTGAGTCATGTCACTGGGTTCCCCTGCATTGTGTCTCTCTCCACCAAGGGGCTGGGACATCACAGACTCCTCTGGATATTCCCAGGGCCCAGCTCAGGCTGGCACGAAGGTTCATGAGCTGAGCTCAACCCTTCCTTCTGCTTTTAAGTTTTACCTAAAGTTCCCAGGCTGGCATGTGCCCCTCACTGGCCCTTATGAATTGGGGTCTGTGTGGGTGCCTTGGAACATCAGAAAAGGAAAACAGGATACTTACTCGGAGACCTTGCAAACCAGGAGGTCCTTCCTTGCCTTCTGGACCCATCAAGCCCTTTAGGAGGGAAAAAAGAGAAACAGAGAGGCAAAAACATAAATGCAGGATACAGCAGCACTAGTTAAACTCTACCTTCCGCTTCTCATTGGATAGCAAACCCCATCACATCCCAACGGGAAATTTTAAGATCAGGAAGAAAATGACATCCCATTTTCTCAGTCTAGTTTACTTTGTTTTTGCTTTTGTTTTGAGAGTTCTGTTTTTGTTTGTTGTTTTTGTTCTTCCGTTTTTAAAATGTATTTATTTTTTACTAGTACATGTTTGCAATACTTACATTCCTTGTAGGAAGTTGATACATATAATAACACAGCTTAATTCTTTTTTTACAATCTCCTTCCCCTTTCCTCCCTTTCACTCTCTCCATCTCTTGACCCTCTCCCCATTTGAGAAAGGTTTGTCTCCATACTTATTTTCTATTTTTTATTTTGTTCCCTATTTGTATTGTGAGTTTCTAATATAAGAGAAACTATGTAGCCTTTAAGCTTGTGTGTCTGACTTATTTCACTTCATTTCTATTGATGTAATTAAATATGTTTAACAAGGAAGATACAGGCAGAACATTACAGAGGGGCACCATAAGCATGAGATGGCTGCCATTAGCCCTCATATAAAGCACACCCAAAAGAGCCATCTGGAACCCAAGTGTCTAACTCAACCCTAAGGCCCTTTTTGCAGCAGCCTGCCGGATCAGAGAGAATGAGCTGGGGTTTTCTAAATCTAGGGCAATAATGATGACAATTAGGACAAATATTTATTGTCCTAATTGAAGTGTTCCAGGAAAGACCAATTTCAACCCCAGAAGGAACTTCTATTGTGGGCTAGGGGTATCCTATGCAACTAAGTAAACCCTGGCTCCTCACCCTGCTGATACCTGTTGCATGACCTTAAGACATATTGCTTGACAGTATGGAACCTCAGTCACCTCTTCTCTAAAGTCAAGATGATGCACTGAACTACTGAGCAGTTGGGAGGACCACATGAAGATTTGACCCAAAGCCATGACCCAGGCTCACATTCTTCTGCAGGCACCCAATGCAAACCCAAACAACTGCATTTAGAGGAAGGCACCAAAACCCAGTGGGCAGCTGGAATTTCAGCTCAAGCTCTGGCTTTGTTTCCTCTTCTGAGTGGATGTGAGTCACAAATCCCTCAGCACTTCAGTTCCCTCACCTTAAATAGCACAGTAACAGTCACTACTGCCAAATGCCATGGCTGAGGTAACCAAGACGCAAGAAGGATTTTGTGAGCTCAGGGTCCTCCATGAGAGGAGACCCAGCAGGAGTGAAGTCACCTCAAGTATCAGGAAATGCTGGCCCTTTAGTTGCTCAGCCAGACACTGGTAAAGGAGGCCTATTCCCATTTGGGGACAGATGACAGATGCTGGCATTCAGATGCAGAATACTACATGCTGTTTCCATTTAGAGAACAGGATATATTCTCTTCTCTCTGGAACTGCTGAACATAAATTCAAAATTTTTCCATTCTCAACAGAAGTTATTGAAGCCAACTTCTCAGCTTGATTCGTCCTATGCATATTTAGGAAGCAATTGCCCTGCAGAAGAGCCTGAGCTAGCTGCTTCTGGGGATTCAAAGGGAGAAAGGACAAGTGATTTCAGTACTAGGTTTACTAAGTCTTCACACAGCAACACTTTGTAGATTGACCCTCAGAGCAAGTTCATGGAAGAGAGGATGACGATGATTTCCATGTTAGCAATGAATCAAATGAGGATTAAAGAGATTACCCAAAATGTTACCAAAGGCACAAATCTAACTTGGTGCAAAAATAGGAACACAAAGCCAAATACCTTCCATGGCCATGCTACTCTTTATAAGTTCTTACTTCAGTCAGGTCTCATTTTAATCCCTTTAAGTGCCTACCATGGGAAATCTCTCACAAGCATGTGTTACATTCACATCACGTAATAATCCTGTGGATTCTGAGATGAGAGAAACACTGATCCTGGCCTTAAGAAGTTCACACTTTTGGCTCTCTCATTACTGTTCTTCTTTTAACAAAGACTTTACTGAGGTCGGATTTTTGAATTCCAGCTAAGGGAATTTTATCACTTCTATCACATATGGTACTGAATGTGCCACTATGTGAGAAGCATCTTGCCCAAACATCTTCAGGGGTGTGGACTGCTCTGTGGAGCGCAAAGGTTGAGCTGTGCTGATGTTTGAACCTACAGTGGCTCAAGATTCCCAAGTGCCCTCTATAATAAACCACTGTACACTCATTGGTGAGAAAAGCGTGCATTATACAGACAGATCTGGTTCCAAGGTCAGTTTGCTTAGCAGCCATGTATGTGACCGTGTGTGTGCTATTTAATGTCTCTGCACCAGTAGCTTCATTGTTAAAAGATGAAAAATAACATGCTCACCCTTGCATTATTAAAATGTGTTCATTTGTATTAAAAGTACATCACTTAACATATCTAATACTTTCCAATAGTGGATCTGAAATGAATATGTGTATACACATAGAAAGCTAAACCTGGAGAGACTGCATGACCTCAAAACTTACAACAATAGCGGACAGCTCTGGGAAACTAAACTTGCAGGGAATATAAGAGTAGGAAGTAGTTTTACTGGCCCAAAAGTTTTGATACAAAATTGTTCTAATTAACATCATCTAAGTTTGTTCTCATTTTAGTTTTACCCCAGCAAAACCACATAAATGTATTCTAATAATGAATGGGTCTGGGGCTGAGGGTTTAGCTCAGCAGCATAAGCGCCTGCCTTGCAAGCAGGCAGTTGTGAGTTCGATCCCTGGTACCAATAAAAAAAGAAAAAAAAAAAAAAAAAAGAAATAAAACAATAATGAATGGGTCTTAATGGTTCAATGTGAATCTCATTTAGGGTCATTTATACACAACAACTGCTTTATTTCCTTCAATAAAAACATAGCAAATTGAAAGGAACAGCAGCATGCTGCCAGGAGAGGCAACTTTAAAACAGGGGCTCTTGTAGTATTCACTGCATTTCCTTAGAATCTGAACTGACATCATAAATGATCACAGGGCCCCCTTGAGTGGTCTGTTTCCAAATGCCTAGGAGCACTTTATTAAGTGCTTATCAGAGGGAGGCACCAGAGGCTGGAGAGCTCCAAGCTGGCAAGAAGCCATAACCAATTGGAAACATGGGAAAGCACATGTGGACAGAATGATTAACTTGGCTTCTGAGTGTCCAAGGTTTTTCTTCTATTTTATCTGAAGGAAAACCAAACTGCAGACTGAGCGCCCAGAAAACCTCCTTGTGGTCTGTTTGGAACCAGAGGCTCTAGGCAGGCGTCCGGACCTGCAGTCACATTTGAACTCTGCAGGAGTTTCTGGTGGTGACGCCACCTTCTTGCTGCAGTCTGGTTTCTTGCTAGGTAAGAGAGTGACACGGACAGCATTTACCACTCGAGATGATGTGAGGCTTCTGAGATAACACAGTGCTCGGTAACAGAAGGATGATGGACCTAAAGGTGTTCAGAGCACACCCTGTGCCAGGGCGGGGTGACTTACTGGAGCTCCTGGTAGCCCGGGTGGGCCCTGATGACCTCTTGGACCTGGAGCTCCCTGGAAGCACAAGCCAAACATGTGTTAGTTAGGACTGCCCTCTCCCAACGAAGAGTGCCTCAGCACCCATGGCTCTTCCTGCAATTTATTTCACATCCTCCCAAAAGAAATCCCAGAGACACAAGTTACAGGTGTGCCATTTGTGCTCCTCACCAAAAGCTCTCTTCTAAACCCCACACTATGGCTGGGGCCTTTCCATACCTGCTAGAGCTTAACCCCTCAACAGGAGACCCACAGCCCCTTACCTGTTCACCCTTCAGGTCCTTACTGTGTACCTGAGAGAGAGACAGGTGTTAGCAAAGGTATCAGCAGTTTGTCAACACGTCACTCACTCTCTGCTCCACTGAGAGTATTTATACAGCACATACTGGGATGTAATGGCTTCTGACTGTTCTCTGATTTTAACCCATTTTCTGGTGTTAAATTTTTTCTGTCCAACTCATATCACCAGAAGAGTTCGGCCTTATGTATCCAGTGACTCAGTTCTATCAGTGTCGGACAGCACAGTCCCACCAGTGGTGACTCACCACGGAGCCTGGCACACCAGGAGGTCCTGCAGGTCCCACATCTCCCTGGCAGAAAGAATAAGCATGTTAGTAGAGTTACTAATTGCCTACCTTCTTCAGTTCTCCACCAGCTCTGGGTGCCTTTCCTTATTTCTGCAGCCAACAGGGCTTTCTCTGTCATCATCACACATGCTGTCATTACACCTAGATGTCTGTGTCTGATTCTTCTCTCCGTTTTAAGGTCACAGGCTTCCAAAGAGCAGAAGGTGTGTTTTCTCTTCTGTGCATATTCCACCCAGGGCATCGAGCTGGCTGGTGTGCCATGAACCCTCACAGTTTGTCATAACAATGTGCCTCTGGAAAGCAACCCTTGATTCACTGCCATGTGTGTACCTGCAGGCACCAGGTACCATGGTAGCAGGAGCAGAAGGTAGGCATTCTTCAGTGTCCCCTGTGCAGAGTCCTTGGTTCCACACATGGTCAGCATTCAGCAAGTATTTTCCAAATAAATAACTAATAAAACATACTGATAATGCCTACCCACTGTCATTGTATCACACATGCACAGCTGTCTCACATTTCCTTCACATGGAGGTTACTTGGGCTACGACAGCTGAGCTATGGCCAGATTTCTCAGAGTATGAACTACATCTTGGTTCCACATGGATATACTCATCAACTGGGACAACACGAAGTCTTTATTTCTATGACACTGGTGAAGCCAGCAGAGTCTTTATAATTCAGGTCCCTTCACATGAATTGCAAACTTCAGCTATCCTGTCACCTAGAACTCAGCTCAGGGAGCATGGGGCACATTCAGAGATAAGCTGGCAAATAAAAGAAAGAGTCAGTAAACAAACCTGAGAGCCTCTGGTACACCTGCAGGCTCAGGAGTAGGATGGGTGGGCTGCAGCATGCTCACCCGTCTTCACTGTCTTCCAGGTTATACTACGAACAGGAACTCATACCCTTACCTGCTCTCCCCCTGGCCCTCCCTGTGACACCAAGCCAAGGTGAACACCACTGTCCACCCCAGCTGCGTACTTTCCAACCTGCTCAAGACATGAAACAGGTGCTTCTTATTGTATGGCACATCAAGTATATTCCTAAAAACATCAGCTGCTCATGTTCCTACATCAAAGAAGCTTCAGTTATCAATTTCCCTCACTGCACTTCACTTTGGTTTCTTGCATGTAATAGTCTTCCTTGGAAGTATCTCTTCATTCTCTTTTTCCTCTCTCCAATCTGCCACTATCTCACACACAGTCACACCAACACATAGATGCCACGCAGCACGCTGTAGCTCATTCTGTAACCTCTCCAGGCAGCTGTGCGACATGCAGACATGAACATTTCCACCTCAAGTAGGTCCCCTGCATTTCTCGATCAGAATGAAACTCCTCAGAGCAAAGTTTTCCTTCCCATATTTCCTCAAACTTTATCAATATGTTGGTAAAATACGATTGTTACAAGCTGTCCTAAAATTTTTATGTGCCAAGACAGGTAGGTCAGCTATAAGTGACTGAATAATGAATCTTTTGGGTTTGTAACTACATCTATCTATTTTATATCACTATCACATCTGTGTGTGTATGTGTGTGTGTGTGTGTGTGTGTGTGTGTGTGTGTGTGTGTTTACAACCATGTGTATGAGGTACTGGGGATCTAACCCATGGCCTTCACTCTCATTTAGCCCCAACCCATTTTTCTAATTTTTGATTTGGCAGAATCCCACTAAGTTGTGTAGTTTGGGCTCCAACTTGAGATTTTCCTGCCCCAGCCACCCAGAGTCCTGTTATCCATATCTGTTGTTCTCACTACGGTCATCAATATGATCAATCAAGACATTAGTTTTTAATAGTATAAACTACTTTGAAAACAACTAATCAACAATTTTAATCACTTGAAGCTCATAACATGAGATAAAATGTTCTGATATACAATATTATATTGCTATGAAGGCAGAGGAAAATGCCAGTATTTGTTCATATACAGGATTGTGTAGTGAGTGACAGCTAACAGAGCTGCAGAGTTTCTGTATTCCAGTCCTTCCTCTAAGGACCTGATATGGATCAACTCTTTTTCTCTAGAATATGGTCTTTGTATCTTAGGAGAAAAACTGAGGCACAGAGTGGTTCGGGAACTTTCTGTAGTTCAAACTTTTAGTGAGATACAGATAGAGAAATGTGTTGAAGTGTCATTTGCTTTCCAGTACACAGAACCCTCCATTTAGTTGTGATAGCCTCCAGGAAGGCTCCTAGTGTCCCCATACGCAGCATTCATACGTGACGCAGTGATTTCACCTTCCTGATTATGACTAAAGGTAACAGCCCAAGTGATGGTTTGCACCATCCAAGATCAGGTTGTAGAATGACTGAGGCTTCCAGTTGTGGATTTTTCCCTTCCCACAAACTGAGAGTTTCCACTTTTCGGGCATCACAGTGGAGAAGCCCTTGTAACAAGGAGCAAAGCTTCTGGCCAACAGCCATTGAGGAACTACAACCTTCCACTGACCACGTGGCTGAGTCTGGAGGTGGATTCTCCAGTCCCAGTCACCTAGCCACATCCCACCTAGCAGACTGAGTGCAACTTCAGGAGAGGCCCAGAACACAAAAGATCTAGGTCCTATATTCCCACCCCTCCAGAACTAGGCAAATTGCTGTTGTGTGAAACTAGTGAGGCTAAGGGTTATTTGTTACACAGCAATTGATAACTAGTACAAACATCAGTTCAATCTAGTAAAATTCTTAATATGACAAAACTGCATTCCTTAATAGTTCAGCTTGCACTGCTATATCCATCTTAGTCATTTTCCTCAAAGCTGGGCCACAAAGCCCAACTCTCACAGCTTAAAGGTGGAGAGGTTTACCGTGACTCATATTTCAGAAGTTTCAGTCCTCGAGTGGTACTCTGGTGTGGTGGAAGGGCAAAGACAGAGGAAATCAGCTCATGTCAAGGTTGCCAGGAAGCAGAAAATGAAAGGAGGAGCCAAGAAGGGGATGCACTTTTCCAGATCACAATCCTGGGCCCTATCTCTTCAGACCAGACAATACCTCCATACACCAAGTCAGCATGTAGCCCAGTAATCCAACTGTCTTCCAAAAGCCTGCGAGTACAGGAGGCCATTGGGGTCATCTACATAAACTATAACAGCATCCTAGGGTGGACATGTGGGTATGAAAAACTGAAAGCTTTCAGCTCTAATCAACCTACTGTGGGATCTTGGATAAGATGCCCTAATTTGGGGTCTGTCTTTCATCTGTAGAAAGTGTGTGAGACAACTCCAGTGGCTCCCCTTGAATCAGAACAATTGCTGCAACTTTGATTATTTGGAGATTTATTTCCTTATACTGATATGTAGAGAGCTGGCTATGGTATTTTCTTCTCTCTTCAATTGGCTCTAAGCATTGCAAATAAGTAGCAGAGGTACTGGTATGTAATTTCTAAAGCCATCAGACAGTCTCTTGTTTCCTCCCATAGTGTTCTCTGTAAAAGGTATGAGCACAGTGGGATGTTAGAGCCAATAGCTCCAGGAACGTCAGTGGGCATGAGGCTCAAGGTAAAGAGGCTATGATTCCCCAGGGCACAAAAGTTTACCTATCAGAAACTGAAGCAACACCCTCCTAAAACAATTCAATGCTACCTTAATTGAATTATGCAAATTGATCCTTCTGCATATCCTTATTTCTGCATTTTGCTGAGATGCCTTTCTCCCCCCTGGTCAGCCAGCTCCAGTTACTCACATAATGCCCGCCTTCCTCACTGTCACTCATTCCTAAGCCACCCTCCTTCTTCACAAGATAATACATTTTAGGAGAGGCCTAGGATCAGGGCCTTTGTCTGCACACCTTCACAGGGATTGGATTTAGGACCCCGTGGCTGCCCTTAACTTGGAATGTGTCCGGGTGTCTTTACTGTCACAGGTAGCATTGGAGATGGTAGACTGGAATTAACTTGCTGGGATTCCAATAATGTGTCAATAGGATTACAAATATAACTTTTTGGATTGTAATACATGGATGACTACTCAATATTTGGGATTACAATAGAAAGGAGTTTCAAAAGACTGCCACCGGGCTGGGGATTTAGCTCAGCGGCATAAGCACCTGCCTTGCAAGCAGGCGGTCGTGAGTTCAATCCCTGGTACCAATAAAAAAAATGAAAAAGACAAAAAAAAAAAAAAAGACTGCCACCGTGATTCTCATGACTCTCTCAAAGGCTATGTAACATCTGAGCTGCATCTCTGTGCTCTTGGAGGGAAATGGTTTCCTGAGGATCCTGACAAATACCCTGAAATAGAGTGGTATGGTTCTTAATCATGTCCTCTTGATAGATGATGCTGCGTCTATCATGTAAAACAGGTCAGTGTTTCTCCATGTATTGGACACAAAACCAAATCTATGAATATGGCTGGATGTTGGAAACCATAACAAACCTTCACAGCTGTGTGCCCGTGCTCACCCACACATGTATACAAGTACACATGTACACCTAGGCAGCTGCAGAAAATGGAGGCATCACCTAGAAGATCCCAAATTCAAGCACCATTCCCTCTTGGCGACTTGAAATAAACTAAAATTACTTATTTTAGGGTTTAGCATCCCTTGTCAAGAAACTGCAAGAATGTATTAAAAGCCCAACACCAGGATAACACAGCAAAAATAAATCTCAGCTCTAAATCATCTCCAAGAACAGAGAATAATTAACTCCGCTAGAGATAAAGCCCAAGTGAACCAATCAGGAGATATTAACATTCTCTTGCCATGATCCCCAGCTGAAGTCTGTTCAATTAATGCTTTTTATCAGTTTACTATAAGGCATACCCTGTCTGGGTCAACAGTCAGAGGAGCTCTTTCTTTCCTATAAGCACATGCGGGTAACCAGACTACTCTACAATGGCCTTTACCTGAACTGTGATTGCTCTGAGAGGCCCAGCTGTCCTGACCCACCTTCCTGTGTTCCCCGCCCTCCTCTCCCCCGCTTTCTCCAACATGGTGTCTGATGGTACATCTAGGAACTGGAAAGGGGTCAGCCTTTTTTTTTTTCACACAATGCTGTATGTAATTCCTCATCCTTCCTGCATCAACCCAAACCCAATATCTACTTTGCCTACTTCTCTCCTTCACCCTGAATTATTGCGAAGGTGATAGCTTGCACATGTCTTCATAAACATGTCACCATCTGCAAAGAACATGCTGTCATTTGGCCTGACACACAGAGTCTCTAACAGCACATTTTGTTAAGTCTCATTGGAAGGTGTGCTAACACAGATGAGCCATATGATAGGACACAAGCTGGGCTTTGCTGACTGAAGGCCTAGTTCACTCTCAGGACTCACAGTTGATAAAAATTAGTCATGAAATATAGAAGAGAGAGAAGGAGAAGAGGAAAAGGAGAAAAAATAGTTCCTAAAATTATCTTTTGTGTTCATTCAGTCTTTCTCAGTCCAAAAATCCATTTGAAATAGCAAAACATTTTAATGTATCTTGATATTATATGGTAGGGTCATTTTTAAAAAAAAATCATTAATATTCCTAAAGGAAGGAAAAATAATTCAAATACAAGAGCCAAAACTGTGTTGTAGGCTTAGTCCTGACGTCCACCTCACCCTACTCTGTGTCCATCTCTGTTCCCAGGGATGGGAACCATTCCCTCCTCTTGTCCCACCCAGTCGTGGTTAGTTCAGGTGACAGCTTACTCTCTCCAGCCCAGAGTCCAGGGCTAGCTTACCTTCTCTCCCTGGGGTCCTGCCACACCAGGAAGGCCAGGTCTTCCCTGGAGAAAGGAAAGCAAAGCTGGGTTATGACAGGCTCTAGGGCTACCCACATAGTGAGAGGAGGAGGAGAGACTTGGGGTCACTGCAGCTCTGAATCAGAGCTTGGTCTTCCCAGGAGCCAGGTCTCCTTATACTAGACTTTCTGCCCTGTCCTTATTGGTACCTAATACCTAATTCTGCATCTCCATGTTTCCTCGTTTGAAACTGCATTGGCACTGCTGTGTGGGCACTAAATTCTAAGAAAGTGGAGCTGAGGGGGCATTTTCTTAGGGAATGGGGAGATCCCAGAGAAAATCCAGACAAGAGCAGAGGAAGTAATTGCCCGGATCTTCTCTGGGCATAGAGTGCACAGAGAGGGAATTCGAATGGAGTCCCATGCAAATTCTCAGGAGTCTGAGGACTGGTTGGGTCTCCAGACTCAAAAAAGAAAGGGCTGCTTGGGCCTACGTCAGGACTCACCATGGCACAAGGAAACAGGCACAGAGAGCTGAGTAGGGGGTGATAAACACACAGTCCTTCTCTCCAGTGTACTCACATAATGTCCTCTTTCAAGAGGGCCTGAGCTTGTAAATCCACAGAAGGGGAAGAGGGACATCTGGGGCCTCACTGAGGCATCCTCAGAACAGGCCCCACTGGGGGACCTGGAGGGCAGCTGGACAAACAGAGGTCTCCCTGGGCAGAGCGAATTTTGGAAAAATGCATCCCACTGCACAGAGACACTCTCGAGGTTGCACACAGAAGCACCTATGGAAGAGCAAGTCTCTGACTGGAGCCACTGGCCCCACAGCAGGACCCCAGGGTGAGCCCTCCGCACCCTCAGATGTTCCTCTACTACCAGCACACATGAACTCTGTGCTGGTCTGCCTGCCCTGTCCTCAGAAGGAAGGAAGGACCTCTCTCTCTCTGTCTCTCTCTCTCTTTGGGTCACTACCAAGAGCCAGGTCTGGCCAGAGGAAGCCTGCCTATTGTTTTTTCCAGCATACCTATTTTTAAGCAACTGAATAAATTATTAGCAATTCAAGCTGTCAATTACTAAATTGCCATTTGAGTCACATTCTTGGCAAATACGTAGAAAATAGCTTCACATTTATGACACAGTATTGAGGAAAGGGAAGAGAGATATAAAAACATACAGTTCCAGCTTGCTAAGTGACAATAGATAGCATTGTATTGTACCTAGATAGTATTTCTTGATAACAGAAATAACTATAAATTTAATCTATATTACTATACTAGACTAAATTGACACTTTAACTACAATTATAGATTAAATGTAATTAACTTGTGTATTTTATATTTATATGAAAATATTGACTCACTTATTATGTTAAATTTGCCATATGACAAGCATTTTCCTAATAGTTTTCAGCATGGTTTTATGTTTTATTTAATTTTTATTTCTTAACAATTTAAATATTTAAATTACTTTTAGGGTAGATTATGTGAATATCTGTACAAATTTAAATGTATTAAAGTTGCCTTTCCGCCATACCAGCCTGTCATGTAACATCCTCTTTCAGAGGAGCTAAGACAATAGTTTTCTTTTTATCCCCTTAGAGCCTCAGTCTCCAGCCTTTTTGGCAAGAAAGACTGGTTTCGTGGAAGACAGCATCTCTACAGAGGGTATGGTGGTGGATAGAGAGATGGTTTGGGGAAGATTCAAAGGAGCACCTGATCTACAGCACGAAGTTCACAGCAGGTCTACACTGCTATGAGAATCCAAGGCAGATGTGGATATGAGGCAGAGCTTAGGCAGTGATGCTAGCAATGGGGAGTAGCTGCAAATATTGATTAAGCTTTGCTTGCTCCCCCTGGCCCAGTTCACCTCCTGTTAAGTAGCTCAGTTGTTATCAGGCTATGAACTGGAACCCGCTTGTGCTCCAGAGGTGACCCCTGTCTGTGTAAGTCACAGACACATTTCCCCACTTAGCAGTACAACCCACAGATGGTCCCCATCAGCACACTGATGAATTTGCAAAGCTCCATCTCATACTCACGCATGATTGCACCTGAGGTATCCACTGAGTTCTCAATTGCAAAGAACTTGGGTTCTTTGTAACCTTTTGCTCTCTGGACAAGCTTGCAAGGACTGCCCTGTGCATACACCACTCGGGACTCTAGCACACCAACTACGGTCTTTACTGGTGACAGCTAGTCATAACTCCCTGTCAAATGGATTGCAAGCAGTGAGACCTCTTTCACCTAGGAGTTCCGCAGTCACTCTGGGCACTGGCCTGGTCACCAACCCTGTTGCCCTCACCTGAGCAGAAAGAGAGTTGAAGGTCCAAGGGCTTAGGGTCCCATGTCAAGGTCCACCCATTCCTGTCCTCAACAAAACCTAGCTCATCAGCCCTAGAACCAACTTACCTGCTCTCCTGTCTCCCCAGGCTTCCCAGGGAATCCATCCAGGCCTCGCTCCCCCTGATAAAGAAAGAACAAGAGTGTGAATAAATAAATAATGGATAGAGATGGCCAGGTAGCAGCCAACTGGCCACTGCCATGGAAGCAAAGTGGTCACTGTTATGGAAATAAAGGGCAAGCAAAAGCCCTGAGCTTCAGCCCATGCTCAGCTCCAGTCTCCATCCTGTGTGCACCAGCCCTGAACTGATGTGCATTCAGCGTCAAGGGATAGAGGACAGATGCCTGTCTCTGTCTTAACTTCCAAATTCAGGGATGGCCGCGCAGGCCTTCTGAGCTGCAAGCTTTCCTCATCATGAGGGTCTTCATGAGGGTCAAAGTAACAAGTAGAGTCTGTACACAGTTAGAAGACTGCAGACACATCTCATGTATCACACATTCAACTTATAAATATACATGAATATCTGCTATGTCCCCAGTCCCCAGAAGAGACCTAGGAACTGGCTGTTGACAAACAGCTGTCATGCTCAGAGCCATCCAACCTCTATCCACCTGCTTATGTTCATACACAGCCAGCCTTGAGTCCCTTACCACCTGGTACCTGGGAAGTCACTTCTCTCTGACTGTGCTGTTCACTCTGCTTCATCAGAACGATGATAACCTGGTACACCAAAGACACCTACAGCTAAGGAGGTAATACCTCTCAAACACCTGCCCATGGTGGGCAGTAAGTGCCAGTGCTCTCCTCCAGGCTCACAGAGGATTCCCTAAGCCAGTGCCCACAGATGCTGGAGGCTCCACTCATGGGTCAGCTCAGGCCCAGTGCTCTCATGTACATTGTCCTTCCAGGTGGCCTCAAAAACTCAAAAGATGGAGAAATGCAGATGCTCAGAAAGGCAGATGCACTGACACCAGCAACGTCCTCCCCGGTGGCTTGGCAGTTACTTTGCCTTCTTCATTGCTTGCTGTCCCCTCTGCTAGCTGTTCAGTTCCCTCCAGGGCTCAACTTCAATGTCATCTGGTTGACCTTTTCCTCTAGTTAGATGCCCTCCCTTCCTTCAGCATGCTCACGTGTTCAGCTCCCTTGATTCAATTTGCCTGCATTACCCCTTTCCTTTTCTTGCTCACAGGAGGGTATGTGGTGTGGCTGTTCTCTCACCATCATGTCCCCAGGGCCAGCCCAGAGCTCACAGTGTGGCCCCAGATGACACTTTATGACTTACATAAAGCCAATGCATGAAAACTGTTCTGAGCTCTTCCTGTATTTCCCTGGAATTTATTACCCAAACTGCTATTTCCAGCTCTCATTTCTGTTACAGTGGGTACACCTTGTTCCAAATGCTTTTCTCACATAAGCAAAGCACTGTGGCTTTCTGTCCCTTGCTGCTGTGCTGTCTCTGGGGCCTGTCTGCAGCTGCTGGTGCTGTTCCTGTGGCTCACCGCTGTGACAACAGGCCACAGGTGGACACGACGACACGTTCTCCTTCATGTGTCCGCTCCCATGTTTTCAAGGCTCAGCAGGCTTCCTGGATAAAGTGTCTGTCTATCTGTCTGTCTGTCTGTCTCTTTCTCTGTCTTAAACTGGGAGCGAAGAACACTGCTTCCTTGCCCAGTGAACACAAGGGACAGGGGAGGAGCAGCACAGCTTAACTTCCCAAGCAGTGGCCCCAGTGGGTCTCAGCCAACTTCTAAGACTCCTCCCAAATCCACTCATTTGAACTTGGGAGCAGGGGGCTTCCAGCCCGTCTCTCAGCACTGCAGTTTATGGTTTCTTCCCATCTTGCATCAGTGTAAATGTAATCCTATGTTTCTGTCTTTCCAAAATTATTTCATATATCCAAATAACTGGTGTACATATTTCTACTTTCAGGTGCTAGCATGCACTATTTCTTTTAAAGGTCCTTCCATCACAGGAGACTTGGGAGAACTGAGAGAAGAGCTGCCTGAATTCTCTCTGCTAAGTGACTGCAAACCTGCTCTGGCTTCTTCTGTGTGGCTGGAAGGCTTGCATACAGATGAGGAAAACGAGGCCTAAGGACAAGAAACCACTTAACCCCAGCTGAGCATGTGAAGCTAGCATGACAGCTAGGGGCTTCTGATCCTTCACTCTCATGCTGCCCCCACTCTCTGCAGGCTGGAGTAGGACTGGGCAGCATGCCAGGATTTCCCTTAGTTCCTGGGCTGGGTGAGTTGGTCTCGGTCTCAGAGTCCATGGGGCCTCACCTCCATGCAGGTGAGACTCACAGCTGCAGGAGTGCGCTGTGTGCAGCGCCACCCAGAATAAATAATGGGACAGGATGAAAGCATGGGCCCCTGGCTTCCAGGCCACAACTCTCTGCATGTCACCCAGAGCCTAGCACCTCTTCTGGGCTTAGAGAGAAGGTAACTGTGATGACCAGGTATCACTTTACATCATCCACCTCAAAGCAGAGGGCTTAGTCTGTGCCCAAGGCCTTGTTCCTTAGCACCTCACATTTGCACATAGAGATGAGTGGATCTGGAGCCCAGAGACCTCCCAGCTGCAGCAAGGACAGCAGCAGGGGTTAGAGAGGACCTGGATGGGCACAGGGACAGCAGTGAAGGCCACCGGTCAGTATCTGGGATCCTGGAGGGCTGCCAATGGGTCTCCATCAGAGGGGCCACAGGGGTGAAGAGGATGGGATGGGGGAGAGGAGAGAGGGCAGACAGCAGAAGGAGGGAGACAGAGAGTCAGAGACCAGGAAACGTGGTAGAAGGGCATGGGGGAGGGAAGAGCCTCACCTCATGGCAGACAGGAAGCAGGGAGGGCGAAAGAGCACGTGCTGGTCGCTTCTTCCTCCTCCTTCCGGTTTAATTCGGCCAGGGCCCAGCCCACTGGAAGGTCCTGCCCAGTTCAGGACTAGTCTCCCTTTGGTTTGCTGTCCCACCTGCCAATCATCTCCGGAAACTCCCTCACCAATACACTCAAGCATGTGACTTATGGATTTATAGGCACTGATTCAACCCAGTCAAGTTGCCAACCAAAGCTAAAATCAATCCTCAAAAGGAAGCGGCGGCACTCCTCTCCTAGTGCTACCTATGAAGCACAAGCAGCAGTCCCAGTCCCCCACCCCACCCAGTCACCGGCAAACCCACCTGCTGCAGTTCCACATCTCTGACAGCAGAGGGTGCAGTGGCCCTGCTCAAGGTGGAACACGGGAAGCCCTGGACTGCCCACTGCAATTTCTCCCGGAGACTTTACCTGGGAGGGGGCCATGCACTACTTTCCTATCCTACCTCTCCACTCATCGTGGAAACCTGAGTCACGCGAGAGGAATATCTGGGGTGACTTCTCCAGAAGTCAGTACCAGCCTTCCTTTATTCCTTCCTCCAGGAAGACAACCTACCTGTCCTTTTCCCTCTTGTTCCTCCTGACCCACTGGCCCCCCACCCTGTGCTCTGCCTCCCCAACAGATCCTCATCTTCTGGCTGCTTCCAGTGCTTCCCGTGCCCTATTTCCCTTGTCCTTGTAGAATGGAGCCCAACTCGCCGCTGGCCTGCATTGCACAACTGTCTGTGTCCCATGTCTTCCTCGGGGCCACCACTGAAGTCAGATGCTGCTGTCACTGAGCACATAGTTGCCTGGCCTGCAATCTGCATGGCCTGCTGTGAGTGTCTGCACCAAAAGTGGCCATTTTTGCTGACCTCTGCCTACCACCTAAAAACACCACAGACGGCAGCTCTCTCCAGTTCCAATTCCACAGCCTTTGACATGGCCTTTGCTCTCTTAGGTGCATCCTTCCAATCATCCTGAGCCTGGCAGCACATAGCCCATTTGGGCTCCAGTGACCCTGGACCACCAGGACCTTCTCACACATGCAGAGCCTGATTCACCTTGCTGTCTGCAGAGATGCCTTCTAAGACCCCAAAAGAAAGTGCTGTCTCCTATGTAACAGAGAAGATCTTGCACAGGGCTTTTGGGATGGTCTCAGTAATGGATGGGTGGCTTCTCTTGGCTTAGACAGGGCTGGCCTGGTGATGCCAGGCAGCTGGATGGGCCTGTCTCAGGGAAGACAGAAACTTCTTTCTTGCTGATGTAAGAAATGAGAGAGGTTCCTGAGAAAAGTAATGATGTCAAAAACCCATTAAATACAAGAACTGGAAAGGAGTGGGAAGTACCATGGAACAGTCTCCTGGAAGGATTGATGAGAAATACAGGTGCAAACAACAGACCCACTTGTCTCCAGGTCACACAGTACAAAGCAAAGAGGACAGAAGCCACATGCAAAGCTGAGCTAGGGGGTCACCTGTCTCATACTCGCAGCCTCCCCTGTCTGTGTCTGTCTCTCCTCTCACCTACACTGATAACATCCTGCCCAGCACCTTGCTAATCTTTCTAAAGGAATCCACACTGAACCACTGTGCACTCAACGATACACTTGAGCTCTGCATTTAGAAAATTTAAGACACAAAACTGAATCACTTTGCAAAGGTCACACTGTAAGGACCAGCTCTGGGTCCACTCAGAAGTTCCAGAATTATTGTTCAGAGAAACAGAAGGCCACCTGAGAAGGGCAGTGGGACTCAAGCTGGACTTTCTCCCTGGGACCTCAACTGGACATGGCCCTCCATTTCCTCTGCTTCCCCCAAAAGTTGGCTTCTGCAGAAGGAAGGGTGGTGTCTCAGAGAGACAGGTCCTTGGCGGGGTGACTGGATCACTGTGCACTTCTGCCTTGGTGTGCCTCAGTGGAGCAGCCCAGACTGGGAGTTTCTGGTACTTGCTTTCCTTACAGTGGGCCACAGTGCATTGAGAAACATATGGCCTCAGTTTTGCCATCTGCACAGTAAGGAGTGAACTCCAGCTTTATCATCCTTTCCAGGTCTAGGATTTTTATAGGAATCCAGCATCTTTGATTGGTTTGAACACCAGCCCCCAGAAGCTGGCTGGAGAAGCTGCCTCCTTCGACTGGCCTGCAACTGGCTGAGCAGGTGCCAGGACAAGCCCGAATCCAGAGGCCTGTTCCACACCCCAGACCAAGGGCCACACCTACACTCCTTGCTGTGCTCTCCAGTGAAAGCAAGTATATGAAGGCCCTCATCTGTGCCTTCAGCTGAGACACTGCAGAGCTCCCCATATGCTCTGAACGTCCCTGAGCCTCAGTGTGTTCCTCCTGCTTCTATGGCCCAGCCTGATGCCAGAACAGTCCCTGACCTTGCTTGCTTCTGCCCATCAGATCCTCACTCTCCTGAGTCCAGTGCTGTCCTACAGCCTGTCCTTCACTGTGCCCAAATTCAAAGTTACTCCAAACGTCACTTTCAAGTCCCCACAATTGGAGAAGGAGAAGGGCCACACAAGGAAGTCTAACTGATGAGCCAGTCTATGGAAACACAGTAAAAGTCTTGAGACTGAAACAAAACACTACACGTTTGAGCTCAGCCTGGGCAGCTTAGGGATACTCTGTGTTAAAGTAAAATATAAGAATAGATTGAGGAATGCATACCAGTGTGAAAGTCCTGGCACCACATACTCAAAAAAAGAAGCCTCGAAATACACAAGAGATACAAATGTTCATTCACACCATGGTGGTAAAATTTTTACTTCACTGCAGTGATACAAGTAATCAAGGATATGAGCTTTCAGGCAAAAAAAATCATGTCCTCTGACCAATAGTTTCACTTCTGAGAAAGTAACCAAAGGACATGATCATCAATTGAAAATAAAGAGATAAACAAAGCTATAGGTTTAGAAACACCCACCAAAACATTCTTTGTAATAGTGGAAACCTGAGATTAATGCTAAATGATCATTACCAAGGGGAGGAGCACACAAATTGTGATTTATTCACCAGTGAAACATTGCACAACCATTGCAAATAAGTCCAAACAACTATATAGCAGCCAGGAGAAAGCACTGGATACAGGAACAACAAACAGCAGAAGTGAGCACCAGTGTGAGGCTGTGTAAAGAGAAACTGGGTCTGTAAGGATGAACCCTGAAGAATGTGCCAAAGTGTTGGTTGTAACCATACTAAGATGGTGAAATCAGACCATTTTTCATTATGTTCCAAATATACTGAAATAAAAACAAACTACTTACTAATGAAACAATCCTTGTAAAACTAGAGAACTATGTGCAGTGGGAGGAGAGAACAGGGTGAGCCCAGAGCAGGTGTCAGGTGTGGCCGAGGCAGAAATGAAGCGCAGGTCTCTAACACTTCATTGACTCGTGTCTCAAGGAACTGGCCAAGTAGGATGGGAGTGCTAAGAACTCAGTGCCAAGTTTGGGTCTGAGAAGGAGGGAAGGTGGGAATTGCTGTCCTTGGTCCTCACTCCGCTGAAGCTGGAACGGCCCAAGGTATCAGCATGTGGATGAATCTGCTCTGAGAATTCTTCACTGTCACCTGGTGCATGTGGTAAAGGAATAGCCATTGTGAGCCCTGCTGGGATGCGCTGGCCACTGTGGCAATGCACATGGAAGACCCTGAGTGCAAACCTGATGAGTGAGGCTCCACTGCGGTCAGCAGTACCGCAGTGGGCACCATGACTCTGCCTATTCAATGAGACCCAAACTAATGTGGAGCAGAGATGTGACATTAACTTGCTGAGTGAGATGTGAGCTGGGTCAGCAATTAGGACCTTCAGTGACTGAGTCCAAGGCTCCGTGGACCCCTCAGTGGTCAGGAAGCCCTGACCTTGACCTCTGCCTCACAGGAGGCAAGGATGGAAAGGCCCACAGGTACCAAGTACACCATCTTGAGGCAAGACATGTGTTTTGAATGAAGAATTTACATACTGTCAATATTGCAGTGCTCCCACAGGCATGTGCACACATGCATATGCACACACACACACACACACACACACACACACATTACACAGTCATGTAGAGAGTGGACAGTCCCTGGCAGCCTTTCCCTCTTTTTCATGAAAAGCGCTAATTGGTTCATGAAAACTATAAATACCTTTTCTCCTTGAATTCCCCTTTCGCCTCGTTCTCCTTGGAGTCCCTGGAGGAAGAAACAGCAGTGACCCACCATGGCTCAGCTTCTCTGCCTTTACAGAGGCCTCTCTAACCTCTGAAGTCCTGGAGTGGTGGGACCAGCCCAGGGCACCAGGATGGTAGTAATAAAGCACTGTTCCACTGTGTGGTCTAACACAAGGACCTGCACTCTTCCCTTAGGAGGTGAGCACTAGGGCTGCTCCCTGGCCGTTCACTAAATCCTCACAGCTGCTGACTGAGACACATTTGAACTCAACTAAGGGAAGATTCTTGGCTTTGGGATCAGATGAGTCCCTAGCCTACCTGGAGCCTGTGAAGTCCATCATGATTATGGATCCTAGGAAGGGATCCCAACACTGACCTGAAGAGTCTGGGACTCCTGACACATGTCCTCCACCTTCTCCAGGGCCACTCTATCCACCTTTCTCTAGAGCGGCACCTAGACTCCATGCCATGTGTGGTCCCTCCTTCTCCTCTTCTTTCTAAAGGGGGACTTGCAGAAGGGACCACTGAACATCTTACAGAAAGCATGCTACACATGACAGAGACTGCTATATCTATCTGCTGATCCTAGGAATAAACTTACACCCCTGATCTTCAGAAAATAATAGAATCAAAGCCACGAGATGCTGTCCTGAAGGACAGAAGGCCTGCGGGGCCACCCGGGTCAGTGGGCCAACTTCACATTTACGCCACTTTAACCCTATCTAAATAATTTGTGCCTCTACACAAATCAGAGTTGTTCTCTTTTTCAATATTTTTTCCCAAATTTTCTTCTTCATTATTAACATTTGTAGTACACCTATCTTTCCTAGACAGGTGACTTTACTTACTGGTGCCCCAACATGTCCAGGAGGCCCTGGGAGTCCAGGCGGTCCTTGGGGCCCCTGCAGAAGAGCATTCACACAGAAAAGATCAGGGATGGAAGGAGAAGACAAGAGCCACTCGATCAGTGATGTGCGGGAGAAGGGAAGCTAGGGCTGCCACGCTCCCTGCCCAGGTCTCCCTAGTAGACATACGTGCAGTCTCAGCCTCCTTGTCCACAAGAGCTCATGCTTTCTGCTGCCTGACTGAGCCACAGCCACTCTCTGATCTGCTGCAGTTCAAGGAACTGCTAAAGGTGTGCCTCCCAGCTATCACAAACCCACAGGCAGCAGTGCGCATTCCCACCTATCCCCTTCACTGGGCCTGGACATGCTCACAGCTTCTTAAAGGCTGAGACTGATTCTGCTGGCTCATCATTTACACACTGCCACACTGTCAGTTCTGCTGGAATAAGTCCTGGCAGTGTGCTCAATGGAAGTCTGAAGAGCCCAGGGCTCCTCTGCTATCCAGACCATGTACTGCTATGCTAACACCTAAAAATAGAAATCCTAAAGTAAAACCATTCACCTCCTCAGTCAGGGATAACCCGGTTTTTGTAATTTATCCTTCGGCAATAAAAATACAGTATATAAAGAGAAACATACATGCATATATGTACCCATGCATGCTTTGTTAATTTTAATGGAAAATGAGATAAATTTGAAAGAAATTTCAGGGTTATAAGCTGGCAAAATATTACATAAATTACAATGGCACTGGTATGAATACTATGTACTGATTAAGTAGAGTAGATGGGGTCTTTCTACTGGTCTGGAAAGGTGTCTCAAACCTCTTGATAGACAGCTATAAGAATAAATTATCAAGTATATGATAGATTTCCTGCAAGGCTTCAGGAGGAATTATATACTTGTATACTCACTCATACACAGATATATATGTGTGGGAAGAGGCAGAAAGAAAACATGAGAACATCTTGTCTATAACTAAAACTGTTTTTTTTACCAGATCCATCCCCTGGGAACATTAGTAGGATGCAGCTCACAGAGAAACTTACCCGCATGCCCACCTCTCCAGGCAGCCCTGGCTCCCCTGGCTCTCCCGGCTCTCCCTGCAAACAAGAATCAACACATGGTCATTGCCAGCAGGACATGGATCCAGGCACACCAGAGCAGCCCAAAGCTTCCTCAGGATCAGCCCCTGGAGCTCAGAATTTGTTGCAGAGAGGAAATAACCATCAGTGTGAGGAATTCAGGCTCCCCTTGGAAACTCTTTCTATAAACAAAGGGGTTGATCTTCAGAGCACAAAATGTTAACTCTCCTCTCCCTCATTCCCATTGTTAAGAGGTCAACAAAATTATATCTGAGCAGAAAACAGATGACCTGGAGTCCCAGGAATGGTCTTCATCATGGAGAGGGTCTGTGGCCACATGGAGGGAGCCGCAAGAGGGTCCAGAATTCATCAATCTCATTTCTTTCCTAGTTTCCAGGACTTCAAGTACCCTACCCAAGCTGCTACAAGTTACAGAGTTATGTGTGCACATGGCTCCATTTCCACTCTGGGACTTGATCATACTTGAATGAAAAACAGCAAAGGAACAGAGGTGGAGAACCCACAACCAATCTATGTTTGAGCTCTGGTAGAAAAATATCCTTTTCCTTAGGAGCACACTGACCTACTCTCTGAGATCCCCTTTGCTAGGTTTCTGGACATATGTCAGCCCCAAAGCAGAAGAGATGGGAGTATGAACTGAGTCTGAATAAGAAGAGGAAGGTGGCTGGCCAGATGGGCTATGGGGCACTGCTTGGGTCATTGGGCACTCACCTAGTTGTGGACTGGGGAACTGGGTGATCCCATCCCTCACCAAAGCCAGTTCCATGTGAACCTTTAGGTTAACTAAACCCTGTGTAGAGCTACTTATCGATTAAGCAGCAGCTTGCAAGGATACAAAGGTAATGCCCGGGTGCTATCAGTGGCTGCCAGTAAGCTCCAGTAACCTGGGAACATCTGGTACAAAGGAGCCTCAGCTGAGGCCTAGTGCTGGCAATGTCCACTCTAGAACACAGGATTCTGGCAAGAAGGTATTTGCCTAGTGTTTCCATGCGGGCTGGGGCAAAGGGGCCAGAACTTACTCTCATGCCTTTACTGCCATCTCTTCCAGGAGGACCAGGAAGGCCCTGGGACCCCTAGGAGAAGATAAAAAAGAACAGCAATTGGTAAAGGACACAGACAGTGCTAAAACTTGGAATGTGGCTACCATGGAGAAAGTGCCAGGCAGATAGAGGAAGTTGTGGCCAAAATTTACCATTCAAAGAGTGATCATAAGTATGCAACAAGGACATCTTAGGGAGGAGGTAAGAAATGCAGATTCCCAGGCACCTTACCAAGCTAACTGCATCAGCATCCACACTTTAATGAAGTCTCAGGTTACCTGGGCACCTGACGAAATGGGTGAGAAGATCGACTCAGATACTGTCCCCTAGTTGTGGGTCTATCCTTTCCTCACTCGTGGCTGGGTTCACAGGTGTAAAGTATAAGGTTGGGCTTCAGTGAGTCTTTGGTGCCTAATTGGTGAGTATTGATGCCTAATTGCCAGCAGCACCATCCAGTTGTAACAACCAAAAATGTCACCATACACTGCCAAATGTCTCCTGGGACGCACTCACGCCTGACTGAAAACCACAGGGCTAGAAAAGGTATTCAATTTTTTTTTTTTTTTTGACTTGGGACAAACTTCACTCTAACAAATCACATGCAGATGCACGTGACTAGCACAAACAGAGAGCAGCTGTTGGGGGTTGGGCACCTGAACTGGGGATCCCCCGCATCATTTTCACAACACACAGCAATGTCTGCATACTCTCTGGCCCACTAGCCACCTAGCTGTCCTTTAAATCAAGTGCTGGGATCTCAACTCTGCATGCAGACACAATAGGACACAGAGTAGGATATTCTCACAGCCACCGGGAACTCTGTGTGGCAGAGTGGGACAAGAAAAGCTTGGACATGGAATCATAGCTGCTTCACCTTTAACTTCACCCAGTTCTGCTCTCCTGGGAAGCGAAGGCTCCTTTAACTGTCTTAAGGGATGGAGAAACTCTGCACGGGGCCAGGACACTGGTGGTCAGGTACAGGGTGGGCTCAGCCCCTACAGATTCCACTGGTTCCAAGGTCCACCTGCCATTTCACATTGCTAAACCTGGGGCTGAACTTAAGATTTTTTAAAAAGCGGACATCACAAAAGAACAAAGCCTTCACCCGTGATGGCCAAGGTTAAAAAAAAAAAAAAAAAAAAAAAAAAAAAAAACCTCAGCATTAGGTCTATTGAGTGAATTACTGCAGCCACACATTGGTCGCCATCTTAGGATGGCCAGCCTGCTTTCTGTTCCAACAGAAGGGAAGTCCTGGAGCTAAAAGCATGGCAGAGTGCCTGGAGAGTTTCCTGCTCCAGGAGTAAAAGTCAGCATGCTGCTGTTCCATGGCATCTGATAGAGGCAGTCAGCAGGGAGACCAAAAACAATGCCAGAGAAACTCTGGAGAGATCTGAAACCTTGGCTTCGCCTTGCAGTTTTCACTCTTCCAGCCTCACTGGCCCTTTCCAATTAGTGACCAAAGGTTATCTGTGTGAATCCCGCTCATCATAAGACAGGAGCTCTAGAGATGAGGAGGAAAGAATGCAGGACCGGTGCCCGCCTGGGCACAGCGTCCAAGAGCACTTTGAGGGATTCATTTCATTGTAGAATCCTATGAGCTTGTAAGGGAAGGTAGTGAAAGATTTCTGTGAATCAAGGAAATTAATTAAATTTAGTCTCTGGGATGTTTAAGCACTAGAAACAAGATGGGCAGCAGAGTATGGTAGAAAGACAAAGGTCTCTAGAGCGAGATAATTGCAGTCTCAAATTTCCTCCCCATCACTGGATGACTTTGCTGGGCTACTGCAATGTCCTGCATCTTAGTCTGTCTGCAGAGAGGGATTATACACCAAGCCACAGGACATGAACAATTTAGCAACTGTTTTAAATAACTACTTCAATAGAATGAGGTGCATTCACTTTGACAAGGGGGCAGTCATCTTTGCTGTGTATCCTAAGAGCCTAACTAGAGGACTCCTTAGAGGTATTTCCTGAGTCACAAAGCATAGTGTCTCTTTTCAAATTTTGTTTTATATGGTTAACATAACCAAGCCAGCAGTACAAATAAGCACACCTGAGAGATTATCATCTTAAAATCATCATGTGATCCTGGCATTTCGTTAGATTGGTCACTGCCTTTACATATCCTCAAAAGAGTCATCCTGGCCTAGATACTTCAAGTGTCAGGGTCCTCTAATCTCAACACCACAGCACACCATCATGGACTAACCCTGGGACACATCCTCCAGTTTCCCAGATGGATTCCCTGTCAGCTGCCTTCAGTGGCTTTGAGAAGAGCAATTCTCAGCTGCAGACCACCCACTCTTTTCCCACTAAAAGAACCTTACAAACCTCTCTGAGTCCGGTTCCATGAACTGCAAGGCAGAGTGTAGTGTTATTTTCAGATGAAAAATGAATGTGGACATATTTTGACACTAGAAAATGTTATTAAAATGCCAGCAGTTTGTATTCTGCCAAGAACTAAAAAAATAAAATAAAATAATTTTTAAAAAATTTCCACAAGGAAAGTCAGTAAAAAGAGTGGTGAAGAGACTAGAGATTGCCCTGAGGTCAATAAGATTAGGCATGAGAAGATCTTCCGAGGGAATACACATACTTAAGTATCCATGATAAAATGAGATGAGGCAAAGGAAGGAAAAAAGTCATAAAAAGAATAAAGGAAGCCAAATGAATGAAATAAAAAGAAAGAAGGAGATGTATGTGTTCCTGGATCCTCTGGGGCAGTTGTCTCAGCAGGGTGATGTATGGCTATCATACCATGAATATTTATGTCTCCCCAAGTTGTCTGGAGTAACCCAATACACAGTGCTATGTCTTAAGAGTCAGAGCTTTTAGGAAGCAAACTTAGTACTGTTATGAGAGAGCTTATGGGAACTTGTTTTCCTTCTGCCATGTCAAAAAGTTGCCATTTATGAAGCAGAAAACCAAGACCAGATACCAACTCTGCTTGATCTTTATCTTCACCTTCTCAGTCTCAGGAGTTGTAAGCAGTAAATTTTTGTTGTTTACAAATTACATAATCTAAGGAATTTTGTTCTAGCAACAGTAATGGAATAAGACACTTCCCCTCTCATGTTTCAGCTCCATACACATAAAGAGGAGGAGAGACAGAAAGCACCTCTGGCCAAAGAGGCTAGAAATGCTGGGCTCAGAGGGTCACTCTAAGCAAGAAGAAGGTCCTGTCATTTTGAATAGACTTTCTAAGCTTTCATATTTCAGATAAAGGAAGGAAATCCATATTCAGGCTGTAAATAAGAGGCCAACAAACAATGTACATAAAACCCACTGCAGAAGAAACCACGGCTCCAAGAAGAGGTGCCTTCCCAGTGTGACTCAAAATTAGGCTTCATTTCAAGTTAGGCTTTGACTTCTCTACCACTGCTGCCTCCCCTCCCTCACATACAAACACACTGTCTCCATGACCCCATATCTGGAGCACATGGGAGGGAAACATCTGGAAGGAAAGTACCACACACACACACACATACACTAGGAGATTCAGGGTCATACTGTTACATCACTGGGCAAGATACAAAAGGACAGATACTCCTTTTGTACCATGTGATTATTTCTACAGTGACTTATTTCTAAATGTTGACAAGGATGTTGCTAAATTTCTAGAGATGTGTTCATCTTATTCTTCATCTATTTGGTACAGGCACAGCAGGTGTTTTAGAGTTACTCTGATCAGTGAGGGTCAAAATGTGGTCACTGGCCAGCACTGTCTGCACCACTGGGAGTATTTTTATAGAAACCACTGCAGACCTATTGATTCTCACTGGCAGGATGATCTCTAGGCTGGCTCAAGTCCAAATACTTTTCAGTACAGAAACATAAAAGCTGGGGATCTGGTAAACATGAGTTCAAATCCTGCCTCTGCTATGCAAATAAGTCAGTGGTTCCAGATCCCTTTACAAATCACCTGAAAAATGAGGACAATACAGTAAGTTTCTGGCTCACAAATGAATCCCATTCTGGGAGAATGTTCATTAGTCTTTGTTTATAAGCCTAACAAAATGAATCCTATACAGCTTTGATATATATATATATATATATATATATATATATATATATACACATGCACACACGCACACGCACATACACACACACACACAATGTATATTGCCTTGTGCTTCCTAGAAGTCCCCTCCATGTCACCACTGCTTTTCCTCTTCCTTTTAGGACATCCTGGGCTCTGATTGAGCACTGTACCACTATACATTATCACACTGTACAATAAGCACATAACAGCACAACTGGGACAATGTCCAGTGACACATGAGCGACTTCTACAACTCTTTCACATCTATGAATATTTGTAATATGAGGTGCATTTATATCTGTGAAAGTTTGCAACTCAACTGTTAGTATATTAGAGACTTACTGTATCTGCCTCAAAAGTTAAACTTAATAACATATACATGAATACAGGCAATTGGCAAATGCTTGTAAATGCTAGGTACTGTTATTATTCTTAGATGATCTATGAATTATTTTAGATGATCTGGGAAGGAAAGGACTTTTGCACCTTCCCAGTTGGACCATGCTCTCCACGAACACTCTCTGAACTTCCTGAAGCCCTTGGGAGTTGCAAAAATCGTCCTTGGGTGGGGATTGTGGGCCAGCCTTGAGTCTGCTGGCATTTTACATGTGCTGGGAGCCTCAAGGAATAAAAATTTACCAATACAAGAACATAGGAGATATCACTTAGTGTATAAAAATCGAGCACCATTATGGTGGTATGATTAATGCATTTAAAATCTATGAGCAATTATAAATAAACTTGTTTTCATTAACTCATTTTCAGAAACCCTCTGAGGTGAGTACTAATGTATTTGCCAATTCACAGACATGAAAATCCAGGTTATAGAGGTTACTGATTCACTGTCACAGCGCTGCTAATTACCTAAGACAAGTTCTGAGTTTAGAATCCACACTTTTCACTCCTTTGGTTCTCTTAGTCTAGACATCTGGCATTGAAACTTACCATAAATGTGGTTAGTATCCTGTACTTATTTAATGATCTTTTAATT